GGAAAAATTGACCAACAACTTCGGCGCGCCATATAAAGAGCTGCCCAAAGAGCCTTTACCGCTGCAAACGGCGCTGCCGTTCTTGGGATGTGTGGAAAGCAGTTGGAACGTGACTTTGCATTGTGTCGGGACTTAGGGTGGGGCATGGTGAGCTTGTACTGCCCTTCAGAAGAGGTGGATCGACCTTAGCTACCGCGAGGAGAGCGGCATGCTTTGTTGGTTTGGTCTGCACTAACGATGCGGCTTGAATCCAAACGGAATCAATGACACAAAGGATCCGAGTTTAGTACCGCATTTGGGTTGTCACGAAAAATTGCATGATGTTTGTGGCCAAAGGCCAAGACACACCGCGACTAGTGCAAGAACATCTACCTAGCAGATTTTCCAAGGTATGGCAGGCCGTACATACCAAAGAGAGGGCTTAACTTGCGGCAGTAACACCTGCATGTTGAAAACCAAAAAACGTGGAAAAATGATTCAACATATTGGAAGAAACAATGCACAACAAGCATGGTAGTATGATAGCAAAACTCTTGAAAGGGTGTAGTAGTGGCTATTTGTTTTTTACGGCAAGGTTACGGAATTTGGAGGAAACAAGTTGAGACATAAGTGAACAAGGCCAACACAACAATGCGTGGAATCGAGGACCTACATGGAACTGGACAGGCGCATTTTTATTAAGGCCATCAATGTCGTGTTTTGTTGTTGTGGCTAATAAAGTCGAGATACATCTCAACCCTAAATCGACCAAGCAATCCGAATATGGGGTCGGATTGATTGAATGAGTTGATCTTCCAAAAGTACAGCAGCAATTGGAGATCGGACACGGCTTTTGGAATGGAGGTAGTATTTGTTTTTGTACATCCTTTAACATCAATTCCAGGAGATCATGTGTCTCCAAGGTGCCTCTTTGTGCATGCTGCATGTTTCTAAACAGAACCTCAGCAACACCTGTAACAAAACCTCAACACATATGATGAACATGACAGCGAGAAAATGTTGAATATGAATCCGTTCTAGACCAGGTCACCTTCGATAAACACCAAGTAATATAGATAGATGAATTGCGTCCAAACGTAACGTTTGTTGTGGCATGCTGATGACCGCCCAGCTTGCTGACTGACCCATGGTTCTGTGTGCTGCTACCAACAGAAGCATCCGCCCCAAGGGTGCCCATTCTTTGGGATGCCACCATCAATGCTCGAGTGCCTTTGCCGCATGTACCTAGCAAAGGTAGCTGTCCCATGATAGCGGTGCAACTGTTGTGTCGCGATGAGCATGCATGTGTATTACGATGAAAACCAATATTCCTTGCTCACGGGCGCTCCCCGAGCACAGGAAGCCAAGCTGTAACTAAACACATTACAAGATGAGCAACGCTGTCAAATAGCATTCATTATAAATGTGTTCATTCCGTGTCTCCATTGTTCTTGCACACATTTCATTGCAACATGGCAACGTATTCACCATATCTAGATTGCGCCATAATGCCATGTATGACCTAATCATTTGCTAATTTTATTCTCATTCTCGCGCGCTTCCCTGTGCCAAACAGGACATCCCTTCACCTCAAAAAGAAAGGGGCAAAAGCGAAGTGCAATCACTTTAATATTGCTCTTGATGCTGATGGATCATATCTGTTTGTCCAATCCAGAGTTTCCTCTCTGGTTCCTGCACTTCCCACACTGAATTCGTTATGGGGCGAATCAATTGCCCTAGGCCCTTCCACTTCGAAGATGGAAAAGCTGAGAGAGAGTTTGGAACAATTCATGAGCTGTCAGCTGCTGATCAGTGGCGTTTCTGTCCATCTTCCTTTTTGTGATCTTAGTGCAATTACTATGAATGAATACCTTAGATAGCTCGTCAGCTTCCATTTTCCACTACAAGCTGCTTGAGGGCTATGTGCTTTTCGCACATGGAGCATAACATGATCAAAATTGATGATCATGTTGTGCTCCGTACTTGTGCCATAACAATAGCTCACAGTCGATTTACCGATCTTTCTCCGAATTCTAAAACTATTTCATTGGCAACGGGCTGCTGACAGCCACAGCACTGCAGAAGTTGCTCAGGTCTCTTTTCTTTGCCCTGCTTTCTTTTCCACTGCTCAATGCACTTATCGCAGATGGGCAACAAGCACAGAATATGACGAATGAATAAACGAGCACAAGGAGATGCTTTGTGTGCTTGAATGGAAACGCGAATGCATCCATAATAGAGACAACCCAACGTAATACGAAATGTGACTTTCCAAGTGTGGACCCAGAGCTTGCAAGTGTCAAAGCGTCGCCTAGTGCTGTTCAGTATTCTGTTGTGGCCAAAAACCTTGTCTCAACTGCCTATTTGAATACGAACCCCTTGGGCACTCCTACAAAGCACGACACAGTGAGTGTGTCTATGCATGTCATCAACCACAAGGTGTAGGTGCTTCACTTGTTTCCCTAATTAAACGAATTGGCTTAATGTCAGATACCCTAATGCAAAGTATGGGCTAAAAGTCACGTCCTGTCGATGCACACAGGATGCTGTGGTGGAGCCCCGAGAGGAGATGGTGTCCCAATTCTTTGCCAGAGCAGAACAGCTTCAAGCTGGCATCAGCTCGATCCCGCCTTGTAGCAGCCAGGACAGGTAGATGAATGAATTGCTCTGGAGCATGAGAATTGAGGTCCCTACAGCTAGTGCCCTATTGCCGAACCCTATTGCCTGTGCACTGTTGCCAAATGTGTGGAGAGGAGAAAATTTGTATGTAACCATTGCAACTGCCATTTACATACCAATGTTGCAAGTGCTTATGTGTTTATGGTCCACCTGAGAGCCTTTCCCACTTCCCCCTGTACAGCGTGTTGCATGTTCGTCTGCCCTTTTGCTTTGCCAATATGGTGCCCAACTGCATCTTTTCTGGCCATACACAGCTGTTTGTGCTCTGGCCTGTGCAGTTGCAGTTGCAATGCAAGTGCACAGAATTGTGACCTGTACATCTTGATCCTGTGCGGAATTCTAGAAACGACACCTCTGCGGCTTGCTCACAGCTTGCTCTGGCATCGGCTTGCAGAGACATGGCACACTGCAGCTCAACAGGCAATGCTGGCTGTCCTTCGGGTGTCCCCACACCAGCACCAGTGGTGAGCTGGCTGGGATGTCTTGCACAGCAAATGGATTTCAGCAAGCAGGGAACTGTATTGCGTGCATGATGCTTTGGGCCTTCTGCACCACATCGTACTTGTGCAATTGTCAACTGTCAAATTACATGCATGCAGGGCTAAGGTCACCCCTTTCCTCACACAATGTGCAATTGTGCACAATACTTGTGCCATTGTGTCTTCTAGCTGATCCAGAATTTGCGAACACAATGCTTCATAAAGCTGCAGTGCCTCCACAGATGTGAAACATGGCCAGCCATATGAATGTTCTATGTCATCTCGGAACACTGCTTGTCCCTTGTGTCAACGCCCCAAAGACATAAGAAATCAAAACATGGCATTATCGCAAAGCATATGTTTTGCCGCCCGATTTCCATTTTCCCAAGATTTTCATAACACTTGAGAGATCAGTGAAGAGTGTGTTGTATTGTGTCTTGCTGTGAAGCTGCGTCCTTGTGGTTGGGATGTGCAGGGGAACCCTTCGGCATGGTTGCCAAAAGCTGAAACGGCTCCGGGTTGCACACAAAACCCTCCTGTCGAGAACGATTGGTGGTCACCAGTGGATGCTGAAGTGCAGGCCGCGTTGATGTGGGCTGTGTGGCGATTGAACCTTGGTGGCCATGTGCCCAGGCCCCCTTTGCCGCCGTGCCAGTCCATGGGTGAGGGCAGGGCTTTGGCACAGATATTGACTCACAATGCCTCCATATCGCATAGAAAGTCCTGCATGCAGATGGACAATGTTGCTTTTTGAGCTGTAGATCTACATGGGCGAGTAAGCGAATAGAGAAGAACAGAGATGGACAAAATGACGATGAGCAAACGGGTTCATGTTGGAGGCAGTGTTAACTAATACATAGTAGGCCCGAAAATTGTTGTGCTTGCAGGAATAGCCATATTTTTCTGTTGCTCCAACTGTCAGCTAGCTTCCCAGCGATTCTGTGTAAAGAACAGAGTAGCTGCGTGTTTGTCTGCCTAAAATATCATACCAGTGAGTGCCTGTGTAGGTTATGAGTCTATTGTGCTTATTATCATCCAATCACAGGTAGTGGGCCAGCCATGTGGTGCAGTTTGTAAGCAGAGCAAGGGAGCTAGCCTCTGTCCTTTGTTCTTTCTCAAAGAGCAGGTGACATTGCTGTCCTTTATGCTCCCTGTCAAGCGGAATATGGTTGTGAGAGGTCATGTGTGTTCTTGTTGTGCAGGTTGCGGACCATTCACAGACACATCTGGCACCCAAAGCTTGCCTCCTGGGGAAACCAGCTGTGCAGGAACGGACAAGGTACAAATCCTGCTGCACCAGCTGCACTGCTGCTGGTTGCTTTGGTGGTAGTTCCAAAGCATTCCATCAGATATGGGATTTCAGGTGCCAGCCTCATAACAGAAGGGGTGTGGCCCAGCGCCAGGCCACATGGAAGTCCAAGGCAGTGTAAAGCATAGTTATTTTCAGTGCAATGCAGCCTTGTAGTCATTAATGAGGTATCTGTTGTGCGGAAAAGAATGCATAATCTTACAGAATCGATTTTGTTTGGTTGCATTTGATGCCCTTAAAGGTCACAAACGGGCACTTGGTCAAGGCAATGACAGAGCATCATTTGCCTTCTGCAGGTCTTCTGGTTAGATCAATCTGAAAGTGATGAAATTCGGCCCTTCAGTCCACATTCCAGAACAAAACATTGAAGTGCCCATGTATTGTCCTGGAATACAGGAGGTGCTGCCCTTGGGCTTTCAAGGCAATTATTGATAATTGGGGGGACTGGCTGATGGCCCTGGACAAATTCATCACTTGCCGGCAGTCTGTGCAGTTGCATAGGTGGCAGCAGATTTCCCCTTGGCTGATGGTCGTGTCCTGCCGTCCACAGCTTTCCCTGCTCAGTGCATCACTTTGAGTGTGGTTCATCTGCTGCAATATTGCACAATATGCTTGCAGTTTCAGCTGTGTTTTTTGGTTGCGTATGGATGTTTATTAGCAGTTCTATTATTATTGCTTTATTTGCCTTTTTGAATGTTTTTCCCAGTAGTCTTAACTGTATTTTGGGATGGGATGCAGTTCTCCCCCCCAAAGAGCGCAGATCAAACGACACAGCAGCAGCAGGTTGGAAGGGACCGGAAAAGACAAAGGCAGTGCATGAGCGAAGACAAGCCCACAGATAAGGTTAGCTGTTTGTTACTAATGATTCCGATGTTCTGGATACTTCAACTGAGAACTGTGACCTGTTGTTTCGTTGTCAATTAACTTCCATGCAGCATCAGCCACAGACAGTGTTGTGTCTCTGTCCCTTGCCAGGAGATGCCTAAGTATGTGCCAAAATTTGAAACATGAGTCCTGAATGGGGACGGCAGAGTCCACCTGAACATCGGATTTGCTGGGTGTGCCAACTTTGAATAGACTGCATTATTTGCCTTTTCGTGTCCAAAATGTTGCATTGAGCTTTGGAGCAAAGAGGGACCAAGACTTGACAAAGAAATAGGACCCACTGTCCCAACTGGGGGGGAGAAACATACTCCACTTGCTGTCACAATATCTCCTGTGTACTTGCACACCTTTTGTGCATGCACAGTGGTGCAGACCCAGTCATTAGCTGCTGCTTCTCATGCCACAGCCATCCCAGTCATAGATGCACTCAATGCACTGCCCTCCCTGTACAAGTATTTGTTGTGTGGAATGGACTGGGTCACACTTTTGAGCTTATGGCATTCTATTTGCTTTTTGTTCTCAAAAGTTTGGGCTGGGCGTCCTTCGCTGTGTCCCTGTGGTTGCTTTTGGTACTTGATGGGTTTAAACTACCATTCCTGGATGAAAAGGCAACATATCCCATGTTGGGATTGGGGCTTCCTATCAGCGTTTTCTCCACCCTAGAATGGCAATCACTGCAAGTCCTACAATCCACTCTGACAGCATTGTCTGCATGCTGAAGGCCATTCATGGCTTTGAGACAATCTCGATGGCGCTGCAGCGATGCAGCACCTTTCGGCCATCTACGCCATGCTCTGTACCTCCAACAACCCAAGACATCCACACCAGCTGGAGATTCTCTCGACAGCCCCTGGCCTCTGTGGCACCAATGGCCTCCAATCCAGGTGATGGCTCCTTAAATGTCCCTGCCTCCACTCTGACCAGTGGAGGCGTCCGAGGGGGCCATGACGGGCACTGCAATGCAGCACCCAATCTCAACGACTCGTTTGTGGGGAGCAATGCTCTGAATGGCAGCAACAATTCCAGTTACTCCAGCCAGGGCGGCAGGGGGAGCAAGGGGTGCAAAGGACATGGCCACCTGGGGCAGAGCGCCTGGAGCCATGGGGAGCCAAGTGGCTGGGGGGGTGGCTTACAGGAAGGAGCTGAGGTGGCCCCATCCATGCCAGTAGTGCCCGTGGACTGTGTGGGCAACCAGGCAGCTGGGGCACTGATGATGCACAAAAGCCAACATTGGGATGGCCGCCAATGTGAGTTGGATCTGGCCTGGGCGGATTTTGTCCTTGGTGTCAGTCCACATGTTGTGAATCCTTTGATTTAGGAGCAGACAGCTAAGCAAAAGAGCAATAGTACAAGCAAAAGTAAATAAAAGGGTAAAATGTGAATCCGCAGACATCTCAGTGTGAAAGTATTACAAAGCAGACTTTATCACCAGTCAGGTGATGTTGTGCACCCTTTAGTTGCAATAAGGTCCATGTCGTGTGTTTTCTTGTCAAAATGAGCCTGGGCATCATCCTTGACTTTAATTCACTCACCATGCTTGGTCGCATTTGCTTTGCAACCCCAATTCATCAAATTTATATTTAAATTAGCTTCCTAATGGGAATTTCTGCATCCCATTTTCAAAACTGGGTGCAACTTCCTGGCGGCACCCAACAAGTGTCCTCCACTCCCCACCTTTGATCCAATATGTTGCCAGGATCGATTCTATTCTGTTTGATACATTACAAGTAAATGATGCAACATGTGACTTTGCTTCACATCGCTGCACACAGAATGTAAGGCATATCACTTCAGCTCAGATAAATTTTGTTTCACTGGCGTCTCTCCCTCATGAATACACTGCTGGGCGAACTGTGACAGCTTCAGTTGCTGAAGTATTGAGCTTGCAGCACAAATGCCTGAATGGATGTCGTTGTTCATCCTTCTATTTTGTCTGGCAATTTCAGATTGGGGTGAGGAAACAGCACTGATAACAAGGGAGGTTTGCATGCTGTATGGCCAGAGTTTTCAACACCATTTGTGTTTCTGTCATCAGGATGCGCAATGGGTGCATGTTGCTGGTGTGTTGTTCACCCAACAACAGCACTTGCTTCATCTGGCTGTGTATGGGTGCCTGGTTATTAGTGGTGTTGCCTCACCCCGGTCTGTCATTGTCAGTGTTTCCAGCACTGTTCATGCTGTGCCAAAGATGGTCATTGGCTGTGTGTTGCTTTTGTGACGTTTAGCCAACGAATTCAGCAACGTAGAGAATGCGAGGCAGAGGCAGGGAGAGCAATCTGGTTGGCCCAGCTGCAGTGGCAACTTGAGCATGGCGACAACACCCAGCGCTGGATCAGGTGCGATTAAGAAATGGGCCGATGTAGTAAGCAAAAAATTAATCTCTTTGTCATTAATTCATTCACATGACGCTTCCAACATCGAAAGTCAGAGTTTCTGAGGTTAACAGCAAAATCATGTGCGCATTGGTGCAATGTTCTTTTCCTGTTACTTTTCCTCAGTGTTTATTTCTGTGCATTGTGGGAATGGGCATCATGCTGAGACATGAACTGGGGACATCGACGAGACAGTGAATGGATTTTTTTGCTCCTGTCATGTGCCGCGAGGTGCACAAGCTCTTTGCTTGTACGCCATGTCGACACCAGTCTTGTATCCTTTTGGAATGTAGCCTTCTATGTCATCACCACCCCAACCCTGGCACAGCATTTGTATGTTGGCATTCAGAGAAGAAACTATGAGAACGATTGTGTGCCTGTGGTTCAAACGTGGGGATGAGGGCATTCTGTCTGCAATGGTGACCAGTGCCATGCATTGACTCCAGAACTGCGCTGTGCTGGAAGTTATCGCTGTGCGTTGCTTTGCCAGCAACCATGTGCTACACTTGAATAGAGTTCATATGATGTCATTCTTTTGACATAATTCGTAGATGCCACCTTGTCACAGCTGTATGCATTGCTTTTGATGTGGTTTAAATGTAGTTCATAGCGGTTTGTTTTGCACTGTAAAACAACAGCATTTAGAGAGGAATAGCTCGTGTCACCATTGTGGAAGCCAGTCCACCGAACGTCGGCCTATAGTGCAGAAAAGGCTGGCCATCTGTTGTGTTTTCTTAAATGCGGTCACTGAATTTTGTCCTCTAATACTTGTTTGCACACAAATTAAATTTGACTGTGTGAATGTCAGTCAAGTTGTGGCATCACCTGCCTGATTATATCCGTGTGTGTTGCTTTAAGGCATGACTCCTGAGTCGATTGGCATGCTGCTGGGCGCCATGGGTGCAAGCTCCCTCCTACATAATCAGGGCATGCAGCAGAACTATCTCGTGCAGATGCTGATGCACAGTCAGGGCCTGCAACAGGAACTTTTGAGAATGGGAGGGAGGGCGAAGGGGAACGAGCAGTCGACGATGTCTGGAGTCGCTCCCAAGCTGGACGGGGAAGGCAGTTCCCAGCTACTGAATCTGCTGATGCAATCCGGTGTGTTGAGGGCTGTTCCATCGAACGATTGTGGTTTGAATTATGGTTCTCAATCTTTGCACTTAGGGAAGACTCTATTTCGATTTTGGTACGCACGGCGTCGATTTGACGTCAAGACCTGGCCCCCCCACCCCACCTGGCCCCACAAGTGTATGTTCTTCTTGCCTATGCCTTGCTTGTGTTGCGTGCTCATCTTTGCTTCGGAGGCTATATATCATCTTTTCAAATTTTGGAACAGAACCTCACATACACTTGCCTAGGAGGTGTGCCCTTTGTATGACCTGTTTCTCTTTCTCTTTTGTAACAAATCTTACCCCCACCCCACCTACCCCACCCCCTTCAGCGCCAATCCTGATGCTGATGCCAGGATGACTCAGCAACATTACCTGATCGTGCAGTACAACTTCATGGTGCTTTTAAGGAAGTCAGCAGCCATAGTTCCAGGCATTTGTGGCGGTTTCAAACTTCATATGCAAAAGCGATGGGACAGCCCTTGGGGTTGTCAATTAAGACGCCATAGGACCATTCTTGGAGACTGGACATTTAAAGGAGGCCAAGGAACCAGTCAGGAGTTTGTTTGCCAATGATCAACAGTATTTTAGGGCGCCTTCACAGCCGGTGTCGCTTTTGTTGCAATCACGTAATCTCTTGGCGTCTCAGGTCTGGACTTTCCCCCCTTAGCGTCAAATTGACTCTAAACGTACCAGATTCGACATAGTGCATTACATTAAACAGTTGTTGTTGTGAATCCGACTGTATTGAGTAACACTGTGGCATGTGTTGCGCCTTCTCCCCTTGCTGATAAGTCTCTTTCGTGTGCATAAGCATCAAGTGAACCAGCGCGTTTCCACTGATTCCTTTGCATGAAGCTGGCTTTGTTCGCATGAACGAAAGACAAGAACCAGAAAATATGAGGCAGTATTTCTAGGGAAAAGGTGGTGAGAAAGGGTGGGACAGCAATTGGCATGTAGCCTCACAGATCTGGGAACAACTATGGCAGACAATGCGATGCTCAAGTGCGCCGAGTGACGGCCTTCCCCCATATCCAGTGCTGCATGTTGAAACCACCTGTTTTTGTTCAATTGTGCTGCCATGTATGTCCCATAGGGCTGCGCCATAGCCACAGCTGCAGACAACCCTGTTGCGAGCTTTGCACATGTTTGGCTGTTGCACAGAACTATGGACGCTGTCACTTTTGTCATATCGTGCTGTATGGTGCAAGGAAGCTTGCTTGCTGGCAGGCAAGCTGGCTGGCTTGTTCGCCGGCTGGCTTGTTCGCCCGCTGGCTAAGGTGCCCGCTTGTTGACACTCATGCGTGGCTTGCTGTGCATAGGCTGGAATCCATCGGAAGCAATGAGCGGCGTGTGGCAGCAGTCACCACAGATGCCCCAAAACTGATGGTTTGCGGCAACATGGTTTGGGATTGTTCCTGGTTCACAAAAATAGGCAATTTGTCAAGCCAGCGGCAAATTGTTGCCGGAGGAAATTCTGTAAGGGATGAGTGCATGTTCGAACGCCCAGCATTGCTGGTGTGCTCAGTCACAGTGTTTCACTGTCGTCTTGACGAGATGCTGCCAGGGTAGAGCCAGCGTTTTTCCTTTTCCGCACAACGTATGGGAATTTTTATTCCTTTGGCTGCTTTCAGCACTGCCATTCTAGACCCCACCACCTGCATTATTCGCACTTTGGGCACAACTGACAGTGCTGTGCGGGTGGGTGGGGCCGTGGCTGGCGAACAATTTTCCAGCTGCCGTAGAAACGCATGATTTGGAGACAGTAATGATGTGTGCTTGCGTGCCCAGCCTGTGCCCTTGCAAATGGGAACCGCAAGGCGTGTGGGTTGGCAGGATTAGTTGCAGACAGGTAGCTCTGCCGAGGGGAGCGGCGATCTGTGTCGGTGTGGCCCCGTGTTCGAAGTTGCAGCCCCGGTCCCATTCTCTCGAGGGACGCTGGGTGCCCCAGTTTGGGAACGCGTCCTGCTGTCAGGGAAGCGGCCCGAGCAGGCGAATCAGGAACTCCGACTTTGAATCCCTGCGGCGGTCATTTTGTGGGAAAGAATGGGAGAAGGGGAAAATGTGCAGAATCGGCACCGGCGCCGTGCACAGATGCGATTGTGGGTGCTGCGGTCAAGCGATAAGCTGCGCGTCGTTTGGCCAAATGATGCCCGCAAGGGGCTGTGGTCGCGGATTCTTCGTGGGGCGCTTGAAGAATGCGCGGCGTGCAAGAGGGTTGCTCTGAACACAGGGTGGTATGGGAGCATAGGGCTGTACTGGTATTGCTGAGGAGCCTGTGGATGTGAAAGCGGTTACTTCCCAATGTGAGCTGCAGGCAACACGCTGTTGTGGGCTTGCCGTGCTTTTCGCATGGCTCTTGGGGCTTTTGAATCGGCGCTCCCGAAGACGGAGGCCAGTTGGCGCCCAGTTCAGGATTGTGCATTGGTGAGTAAACGTTCAGAACTCCGGGCAATCAGAGGAAAGTAGGATGGAATTATGTACTTCATTAGTGCTGCATAACATGATACTGACAATCAGTATTGTAATGGCGGCGTTATTACTGTGTTGTCACCGTGTGTATCAAATGTGTGAGCACATTTGGCTAATGGCGCCATGCTTAATTCTTTCATCCTGCACTCGCTCAGCGTCGTTGATACCTCCTTTCGCCCCACGCGTGTGGAAGTGACTGTGCAACCACCCGGGCCCAAGCGTGCACTCTGTTCCCACGGTTAACGCTCGAAACTCCACGAGGCGCATTTCCAGCGGACTTAAGGTGTGCACTGAAGAGAGCTGGAGGATGACCAGAGCCGGGGATCGAGGATTGTCCGATTCCTATCGTTACCGAACGTGAAGGTCGTGAAGGGGTCCTGAAGGACCCACGAAGGTGATGAATGGTACTAGAGACCCAACAACCTGAAAATGTAAGCATCCTAAACCTGAAACATGACGTTCGTGACCTCCATGACCTTCATGACCTTCACACCTTTCATCATCTTCATGACCTCATGTCCGGAAGTGAAGGATATCGGACATTGGTGGAGGCTGGGATAGAGCCTGCGACCTGTGATCAGAGCGCCGACCGCTCCAACCCAACGAGCCACACCCCTCGCAGCTGCGTCGATGCAGCCCCTTCGACCACTTTTCTGCAGAGTTTCGCAGCACAGAATGAAGCCATGGCACATTGGAAGGGGTTGGTGATGCGTGCAAGAAAAGCCACCAAGAGGTAACAGGAAAGGACAGCGACGGGGCACAATATTTTGAACATTTCAATTAATTGAAGAAAATGCGCATTGCTGTCTGAGTTTGTGGCGTTCGTTCGAGATGCTGGAGCCCCGATTTGTACTGGTGTCATGCACAGCAATGCTGTCCACACTTCATCATGAACAAATGTTGCAAGATATTATCTGGACAACATACGCCAACATCACAGAATGCAGCCCCCTCGCGAGCTGCCAGCTCAGCGGCGCTGGCCTTTCAGTGATGGGCTGCATTCAGGTAGCCTATGTACATGCGTCCGCAGATCTTCAGGCATCAGGCCTGTGTGTCCGCCACGTATGTGGTCGCAGTCCAAATCATTTGTTGCCTGTGCTTCCGCGGGTGCACTGTACCTAAGCATGTGTGGAGCGATCAAGGGCAATGTGTGCATCTGCAGTGAGTCGTTCAGAATCACGCAGGAAAATCCCAACTTGCAGAATAAACTGAAAGCATCCACTTCTGCACCAAGTGCACTCAACAAACCCAGCAGAGAACACCACTTTACTTATGCGAACTGTGACGCCATTTTGGCTCTACGTGGCGCCATCGTTAAAAAATGCGGAAGGGCTGACGATACTACGGTACTCTCACAGTTTCCCGATACTGACCGCTCACACGGAGATATGGAGGAGATGGGTCACGATTGGGCGTTCGGGCGTCAGTGTTTAGGGCTTCCCGATACAGCCCACGCATACGGAGACGGTGACGGAGACGGTGACGGAGACGGTGACGGAGACGGTGACGGAGACGGTGACGGTGACGGTTGGAGTTAGGGTTTGGTGTGCGTAAAATACACGGTGTGCATATTCAGGGCCTCCGTCCGGGTCTTCGTCTCGTATGAGTTGCCCTTGCCGGGGACACCTTCCGCGTACTTCAGAGAGTCCGTCGATTCTCTGCCAGTATCGCCGACCAGCTGCCTCCCAGCGGCGAACCGCCCACCTCGCAAACCTGCAAGGGTGTCGCCACGCCGCGGTCACCCGCAGCCCCACGCCTTGGGTTCCCTGCAGGAGCCCCGCCATGGGCGAAGACAGCAGACACGCAAGTGATCGCGTGGGCCATGCGGCGTCCGCCCCGCAGCGCCTCGATTGGCTGCGCTTTCGGCGAGATACCCAGCCCTGCGGCGCCCATCAGAGTAGCGGGTGAGCCAAGCCCCGCGCGCCTCAGATTATTGGTTGAATCAGCCGCGACCTAAAATTTCTGTTTTCTGCTGGGATGGATTGTGCATCCGTTTTACAGAAGCGACGGAAACACGCCCGTTGCAGCGTTGAAGCGATGCAAGCCACTGTCTCCGGCCCCTTCGCTGTTTTGATGGAAGCACTGTTTCTGCTGGGGGAAATTGTTGCATATGTTCGGTTGGGTTTGCCCCCTAGTGATTGGCTGCGTTGCGCATTGGCGCGCAGGGGTTCGGTTCAGGTGCCTGCCCCAGCGGTGCTGTGCTCCAGCCAGTTTGACGCCTTGAGGCTCGATGAAGAGTTGGCCATGATGCTGCGAGAGAAGCTGCGCCTTGCCCTGGCGCCGTTCGGACCTGTGGGTGGCCAGTCCAACTGCAAGCCTGCGCTCACATCACTCCGCCATGGCACTGATCAAAAGTGGCAACGCGCTGACCGCCCTTCCTCCTGAAAGGGCATTGGCGGGCAGTGTTTGATCGGTACTGGTTGTTCTTGCCCTTCAAGAAGAAACGCCCAAAATCCACCATAATCGTCAAGGAGATTGCCTTATCAGACAAATAAGGAAGCATGTGGCACACTCACCACATTCCTTCAGGGCAAAAACTTTTGAGAACTCTTCCTGCATTGTGCAATATATTGCAGACAACTCTGATGGTAACAGGAATCACATGCAATGCAGAGCAGCACGTGAAGCAGTGATGATACACTCATAAGCGAGTGGAGGTGTAAAATGTACAGGAACTGGATATAACAATGTATCCAGTGCAAAAATGTGAAAATAACACACATGGTCATGGCAAGCGTCTCTACTGGGGCTAGATCATCCAGCGATAAGGGAACTGAACATACGATGAGGCACCCAAAACCAAAATCATGAAGCTCGGAACAGTGCATTGACTGTATGTCTGCAGAAGGGGCTGGCTGGCTGATTGCTATTGATGAAATAATTAATGTCACTGCTGATCTGTTGGTTTTGGATGTTGGCATTGGTGTGAGTGCTCCTTATTGCCGTTATGGACAATACCAGTCGTGCCAAGGACTTCTCCACTGGTGCAAAGATGTTTGGAATGCTTTCAAGCATTGTTGCAAGATTATGCATGCCTGTACTCACTGAGCTCAGAGGTGCGCAATGCCATTCACCCATGCGAATGCACCAACCAACCACTTTTCACTGTCAGCATTCTAAGTTTAGTGACAGTGACTGCCGATATAACCCATCCATCCAAAATGGGCACACAAGAAGTACACCAGCTGCTGACTTTGAATAGGTTGAATCGGCCAAGCCTTTTGACTGCACTGTGACTGCGCAGTCGACGGTACCCCCATTCTTAGCCTTTTTTATTGTATTAGAGAATGCATAGAATGCACTTTGGCAAACAGTTTGTTGCTGAAAACGAGACAGTACAAGGGAAATTGCCACCTTCTGACCATATGGTGATGATTACGAGTGTATTGTGTACAGATCTAGAACTCGTTGTTAGTGATATCTTGGGCTGACTGCTCTCTGCGCCTGGGGGCAAGTGCACTGACGGGGCAGACACCAATTTGCACTATTCCATCTTAAACGGTTACATTTGTCGCTGCTAATGCCTCCAAATTGATGCTCATGCTGCAGCTCTCGAGCAGCTGGCGCAGCCTCGACCTTGAGGGCTTGCTTGGCTTGTTTGTGGACTGTTTGGTGAGGAAATGTGCTGGGGAGTGCAGCTGCAACTGTGTTGTCGTTTGCCATGTTTGCTTCTTTTCATAAGTGGTGTGTACCACACGCAGCATGCGTCCAATGCCCAAAATGGCTCCATTATAAAGAGGCCATATTTAGTGCTGAATAGAAGAGAAACAGAGTAAGAGAGTAACAAGCACAGAGTTTCCGAACTAACAGTGTATGCAGTAAATTTTGTATCATTGTCAAGTTGCAATCTGGCTTGTTGCACATACTGTTCCCTGATCGGGGGGTCAAACAGAACCAAATGCAGATGCCATATTGCTCTCAGTTCAGAGGGAAGAGGCTAAAATTGGCCAGCTCGTCATGACTGTGGTTGCTGGCTGGGCTCCCTCAAATCCAGGACAGCCTTGAAACACATTGGAAGTTGAAAGAACTTCGTCTCTCCTTTAATTTCTTCAAGTTCATGGATGTGTTTTCAAGAGGTGTCTTCTTCACGAATCTGCTGTTGCTGGCAAATACCAAAACAGGTGTATTTAATAAAAGAACGCAGTTGGACAATGGCACAAACACTGAAGATGTGTACATCAGCAAGCGTATGGCTTGCCTGGGCAAAGGAACAATTGTCAGCACATCGCATTGGGAAAATTCCAGTTATGAATTTGTCAACACAAACAGGAGCAGTTTGCGTTGAAGTCTCCAAGTTTGCTGGTTCCACCATGCAGAGGATCACATCAGATTATTTCACCATTACATCCAGCAGCAATGCATATTTCGTGGGACAAGCATGTCATAATTTGTTGCAGATGCAGATAATGAACCAATTGGGACCAATTGTCTGCCACTGAATTCATGGCACTGCATCAATGTGCAAGCATGCCTGCCTGCCCCAAACAATGACTGAATGCATGGGTAGAGCCAACAGACAACTAAGACGCATTGCTCTTGCCTTTTTCTCTTGAACTCAGACCCTTTGACAACGTCTTGTTTCCAGCGGCTTACTTTCTGGCCACAAGGGAAACTGAAGACCATCCACAGAGATGTGCATATGTTGTGTAGTTTCATTGTGAGATTGCCAATCACAGCACGAGAATGAGCCCCTCTTCAGGATACTTAGTCATCATGGGAGGGGCTAATGCATGACACTTCAGGATTTAGTTGAATGACAACCTTGAGATTCCTTTGGTTGCTCTTGCCAGTACAACATGCCAATGTGACGGCAAGGCGGTCGTGAGTGTGATTCTGTTCATGGTGTTTGTGCATTTCTCATGAAACTACAATCTTGGACAAGGCCACGTGCGCGTTTGTTGCAGGTATTCTGTCTGACAACAGGGAGCAATCGACCAACGCCAGGCCAGGCATTGCTGAACTTGAGGTTCGCATCAGCTTCTGGACAGCCATGCAGTGAACACAGGGTAGGCAGAAATCCTTATTGATTGCACTTTGGAGCCACGGCAGGGTGCAACACTTCATGTTTTTTGCTGATGTCAGTTGCCACTTACAAACACACGTTTGGGTTTTGACAAATTTGGATTCCTGCAACACAACGAATGACCAGATGTGCTGCTACTGCAGCCCACAGTGAGCCAACATTGCGTCATATGTGTGAGGCTCTAGGCACAAATAGTGCTGGCTGGTTCTTGTTGGTTGAGAATTCACAGGCACTTGTCAACCAGTCAGGGCAAGCCCTGTTCATTCTCACAGTTGCATCCATGCTCTGTCATGCAGGCACCCTGTTAAGCACAACAGCCATTCTTGATACATTGTGCCCTTCACAGAGAATGGTATCTTGCATTGCTGGCCCGAATGCTCGTCTCAGATACCTTATCTGCTGAAGGAATTGACTGATTGCTCCAAGCCATGCCCATTTGCATCAGCCTCGCGGTGCTCAGACGTTGCTCTGCTATCGGGTACCCAAATTATGACATAAGTTGCAGCTTGCAATTCTGCAGGGACCAGTGCGTTCAGTGTCCAAGTGATCAGGCTATGGCCAAGTTGAGCTCCAGACCATTTACGGACCTGCCTTGCTGCTTGGAGTACTTCGTTCTAGTGTGACCGGCACATCCCGTTCTTCAAAACAGACAGCAGATCCTGAACGCTATTTCCTGGCAGCACCCTTTGATCAGAAGAACGGGAGCTTCTGAACACTATTGATAGACAAAGTCCCCACTGATCAGAGGAGATAACAGATGCAGAACACTCCTGTTGTTATAATAATACTATCTTGTTACATCTTATTATATTATTGTGTATTATCGCGTTATCATTCTATCTTACTGTTATCTTGTTACTGGTAAGCAACACCTCAATTTTATCTGCACAAGCAGCAGGCACCGAACGTGAACGACCAGCACATGCCTTCGCGTTCATTTACCTCATCCAGAACCTACGTCAGAAACAATGGCCCAAAGAATGCTGTTGCCCAAGATGGTGCCATCGCATTGCATTTTGCTGCGAGCTCAACATGGTGTAAGTGCTGATCGAAATTGCTCCAACAGGAACTGTTGAGCCACAAAGTTGAGCGCCGCTCTGTCATAGCCAGCGGACCCTTGCCATGGGTCCAAAGAGTTCTGATACGATTCACTGGAATGCAGGAAAGCGGCCTGAACGTCTGGCAAAGAGTCATGTATGGAGTGTTTGGGATATTGGGCCCCTACATCTGGATGCAACTGAGGTCGTACTTGTTCGACGCTGCGAGTGGGAGGTGAGAAATTGCATGCATTGTTCCCCCTGGCGCTTTTTGAACTTACTCATGTTCCACATATTATTAGGCATGGTGGCGGTTGCCGAACTTAACGTCACTTTGGGCGATTGCCCAAGTGGGCCTTGTACCCACTTCACGCAAATTATAGATGGTTACATCGCGGGAAATGGGGCAAGGCACCGCTGTTGTCAGCCGTTGCTAGACCTTTTCCGTTCCAAAAGTTGCACCGCGTTTACTGTCTTGATGTAGAGTCCTGGAATGAAGAAAATGGAATGAAGGAAAAGTCTTGCACTGTTGAACCATCTATTTGCACAGCGCCCTTTCCATTCGATAGCTGAGTTCGAAGCGTCCCAGTTGAGTGCATAGGGCGAAAGGGTGCCCCTGCACCACGCAGCTAAAATCCATCGTTTGAAATTGCATTTGTCGTGTCAAGCTCTGCCCTTGCGCCTTGTTAGTGATGACGGGGCTGTGTACATCCAAGGGCGTTTTTCCTGTCATGCATCAGGTTTTAATCCATTCGCCACGGGTGTGGTCAGATATTGCTACTTGATTGATGTCCGAAGCCCGGACCTTGAAGGCGATCATGTGCACACCGTTTCCGCACGGAGGACAAACAAGCGTTTTGGATGTGTGCAGATGTTGAACACAAAAATCTAATTTTGGTATGCTCTGGTTGTTTTGAATATGTGTATAAATTTTCGAAACGTTCGTTTGACCCCCATATGTTGATTGGCTCGCCCGCCAATCATTTCCAACCCCTGCGAACAATAGCCAGTCAGCATCGGCAGGATGCATTATGCGGATTGTATTTGTGTGAGTGGCCCCCCTGCGGCCCTCTTCCAGTTCACAAGGGGTATCATTGGTTTCAGAAATTGTGGTGCAGTGTCAGACCGGCCTTACCCACACCTTTGTCTACCACGCAGGGTACTGACACTCTTAGTCCGAGTGTGCCATCGACTGTTCGCAGCCTCAGTGCAGAAGACTGTTCGTTCATTGTGGCAATTTTGCGAAAACTGGAGTGCGACCACTATTTGTGTCTCATGTCTAGTTACTATTTGTGTCTCATGTCTCATAGTCTAGGTTGACAGGGAGAGCGCGATTCGGCAAAGAAAATAACAGAACTAATTGGATGCCAGTGCCTGCTCTGGTCATTCTTATAGTAATTTGCAGGCTTGGTCGCTCCACTTTCTGATGTGCTTCGCTTGAGACATTCTTGTGCCAGATTTGGGAGCCCCAGCCTTCATGCATCTGCGGTCAACTCCAGGCTGCGAACACTTGAGGGTGTCTGGCAAGTGTTGGAGTTCTGCAGCGCGCTGCATTTCCTGAAAACTGGTCACTGCAGGCAAGCAGATGGGGATATGTGTCGGTTATTTCCGAATCGCAGGATTTTGTTTGGTGTACAAATTCCAACGGTGTTGGCTCGCCAGCTCACGTTGCGTTTGATGGTGGGTTGCTGAACGGGTGGCGTTCCGTTTTTGTCTGAGCTCCTGATTCTGAAGGCCCCAGTGTGCCTTCAGAATATTGGTTCTGCTCCAGAATGTTCCCAGCCACATATTTGTGCTGGTGGGCACAACCGTGATCGCGTATGGGGAACGGCCCGTTTAAGTGTCCCACCGCTGTTTACCATAGAAATCCTTCAACTGTAGGATTCTCTCCCACTTTGACACTTGCATGGCAATGCGAAACCAATGGTAAACAGGGGTAAACACGGTGGAACGGGCGGTTCTCTGCCAGTGGATTACCCGCCTTCTGCGTTGAAAGACAACCAAAGCAGAATGTAAACACAAATGCGCTCCCCTGTTCACACAGGCCTCTGAGTGCATGCTTCGTTGCTGTGTGTGCCTGGCTGCTGCTCCTTGCTGCGTGCTCTCCTGTTTCGTTTGAATAATGCTGCACCATTTTCATGGCGATGGGTTGCCCTCGCCATCCAATAGAGACTCCAATGATCTGGCAATGTTTTCGATCACGAACGCACCTTGCAATGCATGTTTTGCGGCTTGTTGCGACGGATCTTCCGACATCGTTGCCTTGCAGAAACGCCTTGGAGCTGGCCCTGGGGATGCGCTGCGCCTATTCCGACCCAGTCATGACGCGCACAATCAGCTGGGAGGTACTGAACCGGCAGCTGGTGTGGCACGAGGTTTCCGAACTCCTGCTGCTGGTGCTGCCCCTGCTGAGTCCGCAGGCGGGGCGGCAGCCGCAGTGGGCATACTGGAGACGAATGATGTCGAGGGCGTTGAGCATAGGTGCGGGCCACCAGCGCTGGCACACTATTGCGCGTTTCCCACAGTTGTGCCCTTGTTGAACAGCCGCAAAACATTGCATGGATACTTGTGAGGGCGAGGATATTGAGCATGCAGTTATAATGGAAATGGTGTTAAATATGTTGTGGCTGAACATGGGGAGCATGGTGCCAAATATGGCGAAATGAGTATGGAGAACGAGTGGTTATCAATCGACAACATGTGCAGCGAATGCTATTTGACTTGTGCGCTTGTCCTGTGTCCCATCGGCTTTGCTTCCCGCGCCTGGGGGCGACCGTGTGAGGAGCCTCGCTTTTGTCTTAATAATAAAGCAATGATGGAGCAGAATCGGCGCCAGTCGCGCAGTGTCATCAGCGCATGTACGGTACGAGTTTGTGCCGTCTCAACCATTGCGTCCTGTCCCTGGCGTCATGTGGTTCGCCCGACGTATCGCTGCAGTTGTTGCCTGAGCGATTCGCTGGCGTTTGCTTCGCAGGTCCCAGCATGGGGCCATCCGCCCCCGTGCCAAGTTGCCCGGCGTGCGGCACATCAAGCATGCTGCTCCCTTTCCAGGCGGTGCCCTGCGAGCACGTCTACTGCTACTACTGCCTCGGCGCCCACTGCAACAAGGGCGAATTTGACTGCCTAGCCTGCGGAAGTAGAGTTCTTGCAATGAAGCGGTGGATCCCCAAGGTTCCTCCCTCAATCACAGGCCCTCCGTGAGCCGCTGTTGTTCTCTGAACAGTCGTGCACTTTGCAGACCATGCCAGCCGCCGTCAGCTCTGCAGTGTTGCAAGGGGCCGTCCCGCCATCTCGGGACGCCCACCGCAGCTGAATTGACGTTGTGAGCATGCGCTGCCCACACAGGAATCCACATCCCATCGGGCATAAATCCACCCCTGAGACTGCTGGCGAAATGCGCTTAATGATGACGGGTGGATGTTGAGCTGCATGGCTCAATACGGTACATCACATATGATGGATCGCAAGTATAAGACTGGGGTGAGGTTGGAAGGAGGCTTTCGACCGAAAGTTTTGGACACCCAGCGTGGCTGTCGAACGACTGAAGTCTAGGATGTGTGGAAGCTCCCTCGTCTTGCAGGCAGTTGCGTGCAGTTCAGCGCGCACTTGGTGCCACGTAATGCCTGCTGGTTGAATTTGGCGGGCAGAGTGCGATGCCAAACATACCATGCCTTTGGCACTGGATAGAATTGCATGTTGGGCAAAAGCGCTGCGCCAGTTCCACGGAATCTCGGAACGGCACTGTGATCGTCACACAGGGTCATCTACGTTCGCTCGTCGCATCAAGTGGTTGTGCTGTCAATGGCGATCAACGCATAGCGACATGTGCCCCACGGCCCTGGGCCCGCAGACAGCGCCGTGCTGCTATTTCAGTGGGCAAGGGCGTCCTGGTTGCCACAGCCAGCGTGTCGATGCAGTCATCGGACAACAGTTGCTTCTGTAGGGCTAAGGGATGCGCTTCCACTGTGGGTTGAGGACAGCACAGAAAGGTGTGTTCATGGCGTGGCCGCGAAAGACGAGGAAAAGTGCTCTTTGCTGCGGTTGGAGGAATCTCAAAGTGATGAGGGGCTGAGCAACACGGGCGACCTGTTGCATTTGCTTGCGATCGTTGAGCTCTGTGTGGATGGTGCAGACCTTAGGGGATTGGCGTAAGCAATGAGTTTCTGACTAGGGAGACGTTGGTGGGAGACGAGAACACGTCAGCAGCCTCTGCGGGGCACCACACACGGGTGTTCGCCCCTGGGCCGTCGCCCAAACTTCAAGGCCGAAGGGCGGCGAGTGATGGGCTGGTCAAATACTTGTATATGGGCATGCTTGTAAAGGGAGCCGCTGCCAGCCACTCGCGTGGGAGGATTGGCGCGGTTGTTGAAGGCGGCAGATGCCATATACTTATGGCTGGTGCCCTCTGACCGTCTCCATCCTGTTTTTCGCTCATGCCCGCCCGGCCCTAGGAGTGTGCGTTCGGTTTAAAGGTGGATTTAGTGAAGTGCGAAATTTGTACTGCAAAGTACTGGGGAAAATACCATGGTTTGATTCGCGTAGCAAGGGCACATTTATGTACGGCCGTCACTCGGCTTTGTTTGGGTGACGGATACCTTGTTGGAGATGATTACAGCGCACTTGGCCTGTGTGGACTTGGGCGGGAAGAGCATCCCGTCAGGCAGAAATGACCTGGACCCGGATGAGGTGGTGCAAACAAGGGCTACTTTGTGTCAGAGGTCGTGTTTATGTTCAACGTATCCTGTATGAATCCATTTACTGATGTGTTCTGGCTGGGTGATGCACGATGTGTGCGCTTAGATACTGGAACTCCAGTTTTGTTGTTAAGAATTGCCTCATGACTGTTGCACCGTGCACCCCCCACCCGCCAACGATCAACAGAACAAGTGTTGCTGTGCAATACCGTATGGGGTGCGAACGCCAAAGCACGGGCAAAACGTGATTTTTGGATCTCTGGCGCACAGTTTTCCAAAACGCGATGGAAAAATGAATGCCCGCCTTGTTTTTCGGCGAGAATTGCCACACATTTTGTGAACAAAACACCGCAGGAATGGGAAGAGAAACACACGTTGTAATTGAAACAGCGATTTCGCAACAAGACAAGAGTCGAAAGCTGTTGCATACACAAATGATTACAATGAAACAGCCGCTCGTCCACATGCCACTGCTACCACAAATGCCGTACATTTGGAAGCCTCGCCCCGAATGCGGGATTGTGTACAAATAGCAGGTCAGACCAGTGCACAGGAAGGGCAAGAGCAGTCCAATGGTACGGCACCGCAGGGGCGTCGAAGACTGGTGTGCTGAAGAGACGCGGGCTGACAGGGGGCGGGGAAGGGCAGGACACTGGACACGTGCATCGCCTCGGGCGATGCGATGGCTGACGGTTCCCTGCCACAGCAGACACGGGTTACTAAACGGCATCACAGCATTACACACTGGCCCCTTCGACTCGTCTCGCGGGCCCACGAGAACCGCCGTGGATCCAGCCAACACACCGCCAGGGCGGCCGCCCAGAAACAACATCATTGCCACCCTCATCGGCCTCGTCACGCCCTTACGGGACGAGCAAAGCGGACATTTTTCGGGCCGGACGACGTCCCCTGCCCCTCGCCGATCCCTTTCGGCCCAGCGCTTGGGCTCCCTGAGCTGCGTCTCCACACCCGCCTTGCGCCAAGCGCAACCCCACCGCCCCCCCCCCCACCCCCCACACTGTCTGCTGCAAGTCCCTTGGGTTCCCCAGTGGCCCCCCCCCCGCCCCCCTCCCGCCGCCCATGGCAGCCATGGTGCCGGGCCGGGTCCTCAACGAAGGGCGCTACAAAGTCACGCGCGAGCTGAACAGTGAGCACGCTCATGTGCCCATGTGCACATGGGCCGCCGGATGGCCATGGATCCCGACGATTCGAGTCCGAATTCGGGCCGCCCATGACGATTCGCATGTCGCGATTCCGCGCAGGGGGAGCCACGGCGGTGGTCTACGAGGCGCAGGACCTGCAGGATCCGGGCGGCTCCCCGGTGGCGCTCAAGGTGGGGCCCGCCCCTCCGCCGTGCGCGGTACCCCGCCCTCGCAGCCCCTCTGTTGTTTTACCGCCCTCGCACAGCGCCCGCCTGCGCCCCCGCGCGCCGGCTGTTGGCCGTGGTCGCGTTGCGCCGCGCTGAATGCAAATCTGTTACAACAGTCCAATTGGAGTGTCCTGCTGTCGGCCGCGGGCGGCGGCGTCCGGCCGAAATCCCTGCCTTGGTTCCCGCCATGGCTGTGCCGCTTCCAGAAGTCCAACTGCCCGACAAGGCACTGATCAGCGCCTCTGTGGCCTGCGAGCAGGTCCTCAACGCCACGGGCGGCCAGATGTCCGTGCCTCTGAAAATCGTGAAGCGCGAGGTGGGCGCCGGTCACCGCCCCGGGTCTGGTGTTGGGATTGGCGCATGGGGCGGTGTTTGTCGGTTGGGCGAAAATCCGCCGTGCGTTGGTCACGTGGGACCAGGCGCCGCTTCGATGGACCCGCTTGCGCTCGGGCCACGGCCCTGGTGGCGGAGACCTGGGCGCCCTCTCCGACTGCAAGTGGAGTCTCGGAGTTCCGATTCGTCTTGTTGGGTGCCTCGGTTCGCGCTGTGGCGGTCGCGGAGGACGTTGCGGACTCCGTCGCGGGAGTTTGTGTTGTTGACCCGCCTGGCTGTTGGGCACTTGAGCAAGGCGGATAAGCCAGTCCTTGTGGGGAGTTCGCCGTCGTGAGCCGAAGCGCAGCCTTGGCGCCTTGCAGGCAGCTGCGCGCCGGTCGGCCGGATCCCTCAAGCTGCGCTTGCCTTCAAAGACAAAGCGAAGGCCTTGCTGCCTGCAGGCAGCGGCCGAGCGCTTGCTCCGGGGCTGACTGGCCCTGTGCCGTGGCACGTGCGCCCAGGTGCAATACGCGTGCAACATGCGGCACAACAACATTGTACGGCTGCTGGACGTGTTCGCGGAGGGGAAGCAACTCATCCTGGTGGTAAGGCCACCCCACAAGCGCCATCACCAGTAGAAAACGGCCTGTTTGCGATGCCAGCCGCGGTGCCAGTTTACACAAATTGATGCCATCACAGCCCCCTTTATGCCATCGCACTCACTGTGACGGCATCAATTTATGTCAGAATGGCACCACAGCTGGCATCGCAAACATGACGTTTTCTGCCAGTGCATATGAACGAGCGATCGAAAAATCGAACGAGCTTGCTGGATTCGCAGACCAGGGGTCACAGAATTGGACAAGGCACCATCCCCTGCCTGTGAAACGTCAGTCGTTCGTTTTCGTGGAAATCAAATTCGTAGTGAACGACATATGCTTTGGAATTTAGGGCTTTCGTAGATGAGAATGGTCTGAAGTGGTGTCGCATCCCCTGGAGTAAAAAAGTAGAAACTCACGCAATTGTGATGTGTGTTCATGCAATACACCAGGGAAAAAGGACCAAATAACACGTGTTCAAACGTGTACAAAGTTTACGGGTTTGTATTATTTTCTTGTTTTTAGCGTGCAGAACGCTAATGAAATGCATACATACGTGCTCGAAGAAAGTGCTATTTGGTGCTTTTCCTGTTACTGATACCGAATTACTGACAATCACATGCCAGTATTGCGTTGTGCTGAAATGGGACACAGTCGTACCTTCGTCGCCGCTTCCGGCCTTGTATGCGCAAGCGAAGAGGTTTATCATGATATGCTATTCAAAGCAAACGTTGGTACCTCTTGAGCCCGTTTGTTGCCAGTGAGTTGCACTGTTCGCTGGCTGGCTGTGGCGCCCAGGTCCGCCTCATCGCGGCTGCAGCGCCAAGACATTACTGAGCGCTGCCCTGGCATTCACAATGCCGCAAAAAATATGTTTCCTTTCTGACGTTCTGAGAACGAATGCTAATCTCGGCGCGAATCAAGGACCAAAAGCGCCATCACGAGGCTCCAAACCTCGTTGGTAGCAACTACCCACCTACCAGGCGAAGTCAGGCGCTACTGACAACCGCGTTGTGCCTGCGCATGCCAACGCGTGTCCTGAATATGAGGTTTCTTCCTTTCCCCTCCGATCAATATTTGGCAACACTTGTTGGGTAAATGTGTTCAGCTCACAGCGTGTGCGGTGCGCCGGACAGTGGGAGTTGATATCGGGGCCCGACCTTCTCGACTTGCTCAACGAGCACGGTGGTCGTATGCCAGAAGATCTCATGGCTTTCTACTTCTACCAGCTGGTGAAAGGAGTGGTGTTCATGCACGACAACGGCTTCTGCCACAGGGACCTGAAACCGGAAAACTGCATGGTTGAGAAGGAGACACAACTGCTCAAGGTGACCGCCTGCAACTGGAAAACACGTCCTACACTTGTGGCCAAAATACTGGCAGTATTTTAATGGCAAAGGTTGTGAGCTTGTGAAACATTGGCGCATATAGTGCCAATGACTGTGGTGTGTACAATATCAACAAACAAAATTGGCGGAGGTGAATAAATGTGTAATCTAGCCGCCCATTGCGTGTGAATAGCGATACTGTTACGGCTAGAACTGATTGAGTGTTATTAATAACTGAGTGCATGAAAAGATGATGAAGCATTAGGAATTGCATTAAGGATGTTGATGAACGGACGGAGTATAAAGGACAGAACGCTTGTTGTCCTTTGCCTCGGCTGTAAACCGTTGCCGTGGACTCAAGCGTACAATTCCCATTCAGGGATCGCCACCCTTCGCCCCTGCCTGCCTTCGTCAATACCATGAAAACATTGATGATGATGGGAGAATTTTTTTGCAAACCACAGTGTGCAAACATCGTTCTGTTGTGATGTCATTGAGGCGAACAGAACAGTACCCAAGCAGGTGGTGGAAAGGGCTGTAAGAATTTACAGTCCTTTCCACCACCTGCTTGGGTACTGTTCTACAGAACTCATTTCTTACCAACACCAAAGCAACCAAGAAGATATTGTGACGAACAAAGTTTCCAAAAGGAAGTTTGGTAAGGTGCCAAGGAAAGCACCGGTCAAAGGGTTGACATCTACTTTAGGCACAAACGCAGGTGGTGAAGTAGGGCCATTAATTTCGACTGAGATACAAATTCTTTCCACTTTTATTGTACCATGCGCTGGCAGCACAGGACATTTAGCAACTACATGCTATATTCAGTACATAGCGTAACTGTGCAAAAGGTGACGTTCTTGCCAAGCTAGAGATGTTGGCTCAATGACTGCAATGACCCAAAAGATGTGGTGACGTCCGAGTCGGGAAGGAACAGGTGCAAGATGAGGTACCCGGTACATTGGCATTGTGCCCCTGCCCTGGTGCCCAGCAGTAGCTCAGGGGCTTTGGCTGCGACCACACGTTCTGTTCTTGCTTGAGGCATGGGGCATTTGGGATACATTATTATCAACAACGGATGCCACCAATTGAGATAAGAGTTGTTTTAAGCTGGTTGATGTCGTGACCAATGTTGAGGAAAAGTTGGCACAACCCTTTTTAATTTGTAGCACATGTTTTGGTTAAAGCACGTGTGCTTTACCACAGATGTATCTGTACAGAATGGTCCATGTATTCTTCCTGAATCCTGTTCAGGCGGCAGCATGTGCTCAGAAATGGCGTTTCAAAGCTGATCGGAAAGGCGAAGGGAGGAAGGAAGGGAGGGGGGGCCTTACCTAATTTGGAAAGATACTTTACGGCAACAGTGCGATCCAAATCCGTGAACCAGCGCGTGTTGAGCTCTCCCGGTCTCCAATTTGAGATCGTAATGCAAGATCGCGATGCACAGTCCGGGCAATGCAAAATTGGTACTTCACTGCGTCATCACAGTGTGACGTACCAGCTGCATTACGTTATGTATGACGTAATGCAGAGATTGGCAACGGCTCGACTGTCCGGCTAACTGCGCCATGCCCCATCAGCACAGGAGGCCCTGGTACATATTTGAAGTGTCAAAGGCAGTGGCAATTCGTCCAATTTGACGACTATTGTGTGAACAAGACGATTTTCCATTAAGAAGGGCATTATGGGTAGCAGAAGTTTAGGAGTGGTTGATGGATATAAATACACTAGCCCAGTGCATAATTTTCTCATCAAGGATGGCCTGCCGGCATAGTGATGAGGTTGGCTGTTCTGTGGTGCAGATAATCGATTTTGGGCTGAGCAAACACATCGACAGTGTGAATACCTTGGGGTGGGTGGCCCAGGGTCTTCCTGGAATGGCAGCAATGCACCCCTTCAATCATCGACAATGCATATGACAATGTGGCTTAAAAGATATGCCATGTAGACGGCGCTTACGGAAATGCGACATCCACATAATTTGCCAGTGTTGCGAACACAGATTTAAATTACTTACTTTGCCAAGCTGCGAACTCCGAGAAAACTGGCAATTTTTCGCAATTTGGCTGCCGTGTTCAGATCTCATTTAATTGGTGTATTCCTTGTATTTGTAGTGCATGCGGCGTTAAAATTCAATAACGTTGCTTAACTTCTTTTTAAACTTTGGTAATTCCAAATCTCAAAACGATGGAGTATTCTGAAACTGGAAACTTGATGCGGCTGGCCTTTTTGGTGCCAATATTCAATGATGCTCAGTGGCTGGAAACAAACAGCGCTTGCTGCGCTTTGTTCCAGAAAATATTTCTGGCCCAACAGTTGCATGGAAAAGGTTGCTGCTTGCAGTGTGAATGGGTCTCTGCCATACGGCGCGCATGTGTATGTGTACGTTACCTGCAATGGAACCTTGGTGCAAACAGATTGCAGTACTTTTGCAGATATTAAGCGCGATGCATGCATAAGACGAATGTTATGTGTGCATAGCGCGAAGCAAATAATGCACACGCGTATTGTCCGTGGCTCTGCGGTTCCAATAATCTGGCGCTTTGTGTCATTGGCCGTTGGACATGGTTGAACAAATGACATGGGAATTTACGTGGTAAGCGCATCTTCGTCCCAGAGGCATCCAGCTGAAGACGCAGCTGGCTGCTTTCTGCTGCGCGGTGAGCACCTCTGAATGGACTGGGACAATGCTTAATGTGTTGTATGCAACATTTATGTTATTTGGAAACTCTTTTTCACCTTTTCAGGCAATTTAAATTGCAAGATGAAGTTCCTTGATCATTATTGAATGAAAAACCAGGAAAGCCTAAACATCTGGATCATTTAGGCAATAATGCGAGTACGTGCCTGTAGGCTCCCCACACCAACCCGAGAAAGTCGTTCGGCGAATGGCGCAGCAAATAGATTCTATTTTACAATGTGTTCTGAACACATTGTAACACCCGTTCTTGGCCTTTACTCTGCCAGGGTCGGCACCCCCGATTACATGTGCCCTGAAATGCTTGGCATCGGACCTTCCATGACCGGGGCAGGACCTAAGTACGACGCCAAGGCCGTCGACGTCTGGGCCATGGGGGTGCTGATGTACCTCCTGGTCACCGGAGTGTACCCTTTCGAGGTGGGTTGATTTCTCGAACGGTGCGCTAGTGACTACGACGCCATCAGTGCCTGCTTCAGGGTACTGGAACGATATCTTGTGCTGTGCTGCAAATACACATAAAACACAAGTCAGGGACCTGAGCAGACGTAGCTTTGTTCTCAACGCACTGATTGAAACTGATCGGGGGCACCCGATCGAGGCGAATATCACGTGAATCTGCTTTTGATTGGAAGCTGGAATCCTAGAAACTGCGAAGAAGAAAAAAGGAAATGGAAATTTGTAGGAACTTACAATTTGGGGGACAGGGAATCCATTGTTGAGGGTACAATCATCTAGCAGGGTGTGCAGAATTACGCGACCCGGACCTTCTATTCGGAAAGCCCCAGCCGCCGGCCTAGAGTGCCCCTTTCTAGACAAGTGCAACCCATTCCTAAACCGCGTCAGACGTATGAAATTCGCCACCGGGTGGTTTTCCGTGGATTGGGTCGCGACAGGATCCCAATCCTATTTATTTTGCCTTGCAAGCTTCATTTGAGGAGCTCAAAGTAATCCACAGGCTTCGTGCTCTCTGTCTGCAGTGTGTTGCTCGCAATTGCGATCAGCGTCAATAGTTTTGAACGGGACGTTGCTGTTGCAATGCCAGTGATTCCATGCACATGTGCATGGAATCACTGGCATTGCAACAGCATTACATACATTACTCTGTACAGAGCAATGCATCATTATCCAAGGAGTTGATGGTGAGGTTGACCTCGCAACATCGCGTAAGTGCTGGTGAGTGGGACGCCCTGGAGCGTTCTTCGGCGTTGCACCAATTCTGCACCATCCGCTCTGACGCACCCACCTCTCGGCATCAACTGCAACGGGCCCACTGCGCAGCATCGATGGTAGCGCACCAACAGCGCCATATCAAAATCTGCCCAGCCTGCCGACGGAGAGGGAAATGCTGCAACCGCCACTGCCAACACACCACGCGGTTTGGTGCACTCCAAAGTGCTCATGCACGATCTTCATTCAGCAACTGTACGCGATTCCAACACGAAATTCATGTGCGGAGTGGTCAACGCTCTCCTGCGTCCTTCTAGCACAAACATGTTTTGAGGTCGCGCTTCGCCAGCGTCGGAATCTATTCGTTTTTTCTAGGACGTCTCCTCGCGCAGCCGTCCCCCACCGGATCTGACAGTGGGCTGTCATCCGCTCGCAGGACCCTGCACACCCCAACAGCGTCAGCCACACGCTGCAGAACGTGCGGGCCGGGCGCATGAGGCCCTTCCCGGACCACGTGACACAGGAGTGCGGGGAGATCATCAAGCACATGCTGCAGCGGGAGCCCCACCGGCGCATCAACCTGAAGCAGATCATGCAGCACCCCTGGCTCAAGACACACGCCATGATCCACGCCAAGAAAATCGGGCGCCCCGAGCTTGGGTCCGACGACTCCGGCGCGGTGCGCATTGGCGGCGGCGGCGGCGGCTCCCCGGCGTCAGAAGAGGCCGTGGGTGCTGACGCAAAGTTCGAGAAGATTGCTAAGAGGGTGACGTCAGACGTCCGCGACGAGGGCTCGTCGCCGCGCGGCCAGCCCGGGTGCTTTGGCAGTGTCGCCGGCAGGAAGTCGACCATGTCGTTGACGTCGAGGTTACGAAGGTTCTTCGGCGGGGGGTCTTTGGCGAACTAAAGCGGAGCTTCTTCTTTTGGGGCAAGAGTGGCACAAGGATCAGTACTCACAGTATCTACTCGCAATAGGTTTTTCCAAAAGGGTGTTGCAGAAGCTGCCGGGGGCCGTGTAGACGATCACATCAGGACGTCGCGTTAATTCGCCATTAATTGCAACAATACTGTTGGAATTTTACCCGCAAATTGTGCGGTGCACGGAAGGCGGGTGTCGGCGTGGGGATTGGGGCTCGGCCTGAGTTGGCGCCGCTTGAACAAAGAAGGCGGGAGAGGCGCAGGGCGTGCGGGCAGGTGGGCTGCACGGACGGGCTGTGATGTTAGCAGTTGCGGGGGGCCTGTCCAGGGGATGGTGTATTTATGAATCGCGGGACAGCATTAACTAAATGTATGGCGCGTGTTGGCAGTTGGGCGTTGTGGAAGGTTTCTTGGCACTTGCGCGAACCTGTGTTGTTTTCCGATGCTTGCCATGGATATGTCGCTGCGACGTCTGCAACAATTGCGGGCGTTGGCCGACATGGGCATCTCCCGCTCCCTCCACAGGAGTGTCGCCCGCAGGTATGCGTCGAGCGATGGAGATGGACAATCATGTGCAAGAGCCCATGGGGAGACACACATGTGTTCTGTACAGAAGGCCTGGTTGCGTTGTCGTTCATCAGTGAAGCTTGCTCGTGTTCTTCAAAGGTACTGGGGGGAATTGGCGTTCCACATTTGGTTCAAACCACGGCCAATGTTACTGGAATTGATCCCGCTAAGGACGGTATCGAAGTCTCTACTCCGTTAGCATTGCTCATGCACTATTTTCTGCAATAGAACACGGTTAAAATTTCACAAAGAGCCAATTACTTGCATGTAAGGCCGTCAAACGAAAACTGCAAAGTCCCAAATTTGATTTATTTGAAAACAGGGGAGCACGTCAAGTCGGGGACCAACTTCGATGTGCAGAGAGGCCTCTCGTGCAATTGTCATTTTACTGATTATTCACCGCCCTGACACCTGCTCTGTAGCAAGCGTCCTGCCCATAGCCCCAAAACCAAGGCACCACCAATAAATAGACGACATAAGAAAAAGTCCCGACTTAAGAATCCCCAAATGATGTTGCCAGTGGAATGGGCACCCTTCCTCCACAAACTGAGTTGCAGGCCTACCTGCACCAATACCCCGGACCTGGAATTTCCTTTCTCTCCTGTCCCTCAGCCTGCCACAGGGCAGCAACCCGGTCCTGAGGGCCCTTAGCTCCGCGCCAGGATTTCCCACTATGGTTTGGGGGCATCAGATGTGATGATGTACTTTGGAATCCAAAAACAGCAGTCCCCAAGATGATGGATTGTTGCATTTCGCAGAAACAACCGTGCGTTTTGCACAATAGTGCACTTTTTCCAGCACAGCAGGGTCCCCATATAGCGCCCCCTTGTTGGCTTGTCACTATTTTTGTAGTACTTTATGCAGCTCTGTTGCGCAGTGAGACCTCAAAATAGTACCGGAGGGGGGCGGAGGGGGGGGACGCGGTTTAGCCACCCACTGAACGGCTTGTCATCGTTCTCGCAGTACTTTATTTGACTGCGACAGGGCCCAGCGCCCCCGACTTCGGCGCTGCGACTAAGTCGCTGGCACCAAAAGCCAGTATGGGCTAGGTAGGCTGGGTGTAGCGTATCTCCTGCACCCAAGGTACCCCCTACTCAGGCAGCCTGGGTACCCCCTACGCCGGCGGCCAGGGTACCACCTACACTGGCAGCTAGGGTACCCCCTACACTGGCGGCAATTGTACCCCCTACGCCGACTGCTAGGGTACCCCCTTTAGACACAATATCGCCCCCCTTTTGGCCATGGCACGGGGGGACCCGCTGAATAGGGACCCTTACTGTAGTTTGCGTTTAGCTGTGAGGTTGTCAACTACCTAGGCACATTCCACTGACAATTCACAGCACAACAAAGTTGCGTGCCCCCTGGGTATCCCACTTGTTGGCAACGGCGCGAGATATTTGCTCAGAGGACGCCCTGTGAGGATCGTTCTCCCGCTGTTTCGGGACCAGCCGCGGCGGGGGGGGTTGGGAGGGGGGGGTGCCCGTTGTGATGCGATGGCCACGAGCCGCGGCCAACGCGACCTGCGCAGGGCCTGCATCAGTGGCGACGTCGGGTAGGTCATCACAAACCCCGCTTATCCCGCGGTGGGAGTTCGCTTTCCGGCAGCCATCAAAGTGTTTGCCTTCAATGAGCACTCCCCTCCCTGGATGCCTGAGGGAGGCCTCTTGCGCCAATTTCGACACCGCCCAAGCGAGTGCTTGTGGCCCCTCCGCGATAGGGACGGTGCCCAGCAGATGCGTGGCACAGCAAGGTGTGACATAATGGGCTTTGATCGATGGCGGCGGTTTCAGGCGCCTGTGGCACCTCAGGGAGCTGGCTTTCGGGTTTGCCTTGGGCAGCCAAATTCCAGGATTCAAACTTGCCTATCCAGCGCAAAGCGGCGCCATTGCGCGTTGCAAGTGCATGTGCTCGTTCGAAGCATCAGCTTGGGATGGCGCATTGATGCAGTCTGTTCTCGGCCCTGATGCGGACTTGATGCTAAGCATTCTGCACCTCAAACCTTTTGGTTTGGATGGCGACGTGTGCGCTTGTGCCTTTCCCTGGCCAGGGAAGAGCCTAGGCACGCGCCTGGCCTGGGCCCCGTACCACGAGGCTGTGAGGCCTCAGGACGCCATCAAAGACCAGGTGGCCTGTATGGCCAGGACAGTGCACGACTTGGGCACAGGCTCAATGGGGGGGAGTCATTTCCATCACAGCGGCACGATCAATGCTTCTCAAAACTGCGACTGGGCCATTCTTTGCCGTGGTTTGACAGCTGAAATGAATGCAGAATTGAATGGATATTACTGCTGCACTCCCAATGTAGCCTTTATTGCTCCCTTGTCTGAATGCACTTCAGTGAAAGCTGCAACCACACACACACAAGTTATGCACAGGCGTGGTATTTATTCGTAGTAAACGTCAACTACAATATGCACATTGTGTTCCCACAGGACTGCAGAGGCACTTCTGACAAAGAAATCCTGGTCATCTTGGACTTCATTTTTCTGTCATTGGGGATTCTGGTGCTCTTCAGCGGTGCGCACCTGGGCATTTCGCCTTGAGTTCATGATCATCAACCCCGGCCTGACCGTAGAGTTTGCTTTGGGCCAACACTCCTCCAAATCTTGCACAGATGCACCACACTCACAAACACGTCCCTATTGTTTCCAGTGGATGGTGATGTTTGTCCTGGGGTGTGTGATGCTCAATATGAATTTGTAACACAATTGAGAATATGCATAAGCGAAGTCTTCATGTGCTCATGCCTTGCCCATCTTGGCGTGGAGCGAGGAAGTTACTCCTTGTCATTTGCCATCTACATTTGCTGTGCCACTGATATGGTACAGGCATTTGGCACCCCTTCACATTGTTGTGGGTGCCCATCACTGGCTGCTGCTCTCTGTAGTGAGTGCTGGAGTAAGGAGTGTGACAATCCACTTTGACTGGCAGATTCTGTGCTGTGCCAGGTGGCATGCATTGACTTCGTGTACGATGATGACGTGGCAAATCTACCTGTGCATTACATATGTGGCGCCCAACCAGAGTTCAAGGGATTGTTGTTGTGGTGGGACTGGGTGTGTGGTTTCTTTTGCACCAAATCTGCATCTGAGGGCACGGACTTGCAGAGGGCTCAACTGTTGAAGTGGCTACTCGGTCTTGCAGAGCCACTGAACCTGAGTGTATTGAATCTAAGGTGGGTAGACGACCTTCATGCTGCTGATCACAAGTGCAGGCGGACCCTTTGTGCCCATGCAGGTGGAGTTGTCCAGACATTGCTGCAGCTGACTGCAGCTGGTTGGTATTTGGCCTCTGCCATGAACTGGAGAAGTGTTGTCTCACTGAGGAGATTCTGGGGGGCTGAAATCTTTGCCATTGAAGAAATTCAAGCTTGACGAAGTACCTCTCCGATCTTTGATGCTGGAAACTGCTTTTCACAGACATCATTTTTGTGCTTTGAAATGCCGGAATTTGTCATGCTGCTTTTCATTCCAAGTGTTGCACCATGTTTGAAAACGCAAGTGCTTCCCAAATCCGAACACAAGATTTGTATGCCCTACTTTGTCACACACTGTTGTGTGAAAACAGAGCCTTTTGTCTCTGGGATGTTACGAAATCCCTGTAGTTGGGCTCAGCGATATTGGCTAAATGTTGGCCCAGGTGAGTGCAGGGTGATGAGGTGCATGGTGGGCTTCTGTGCACGGGTCCGCACAGTTCATATGCAACCTACCTCCCAGGAGAGCCCCAAATGACTCCAGAATGTCTGACAAGCTGTGTTGATGTTTCTCAGGGGTGAGAATGTGTTACATTGTTGCGTTGCCAGCAACTCTGTCACCGTGCTCTCTGTGGTGCTGGAACAATGCAAGAACTCAAGCTGTGCAAAGGAAATGCTGCCCAGCCTCAACTGCGTTGATGCCGCTGGCAGAACTCCTCTGGAATTGGCAGTCAGTGAGCAGCGCTGGCTGTGTGTGAGGCTGCTCATTGGGTCTGGTGCATTGGAGGTGAACTTCTGGCTGCGAATCCAAAATCTTGAAAGTCAAGAAAGTGAAAATCGCTTGCCTGTTGATGATTTGCCCTTGCCTGAGACTGCTGCCCTGCCATCTGGTTTACATTGTTTCAAATCCTTTGTTCCCTGCCTTTTCACATGTCCCACATGCTGCCCACTGCGTGTGCTGCTCTTATTGCGTACAGAGATTTGTGTGACATCTCTTGCTGCAATGTGAAGAACCTGAAGTTCGGCTCAGGAAGGGTTTGCCCGGTGTGGCAAATGTCCATTCTGTTCAAAAAACAATCATCAGCCCTCACTAGTATAGTGTGTTGCTAACTAGTATTGCTGCAGTCTGGCTGCCAACAGCTCCTCGAGCTGGTTAGTATGGCCATCTTCCAGGCCAGCTACTCTCACACAATGAATACACACCCTCTTCCAGCGCGTTGTCCAGCATC